AAAATACAATCGGATTCTAACAAAAAAGAAGTTTGCATAATTACAGATGGATGCTCAAATTATGCTGTAGGTTTTAACTATAAAAAGATATGTGTCTAACTTAATTTACTAAAATGATTGATGCCATAACAGGTAAAAGATGATGCCTTTTAAAAATATGGTAAGATTTTTAAAAAAAAAAATCCTAAAAGACTGCCGGATAATAATTCAATGATTATACAAATTAGGAATTCTGTAGGCAGATTCAAAATGCCTGGCCACTCATTTCCTCTCTAGGCCAAGTTATGTTTCTTTTTTAAATAAGAAATAAGTAAAGTCAGCAAACAAAATGTCACCATTAAATCATTTGGCATCATTTTCTGTCAAAAATGTAATGGAAAAAGCACACATCATAGAAAAGGTTACTGCTCTTCCAGAACATCTTTTCACTTGGTTCAGGGCTCATTCCTTTCCACCACAGTATAGACTCAACTTGCTCTCTGCAGGCTTAATGTGGCAGATGAAGGATGATGGCATTTCCAGCAGACCACAGTGTAGTGATTTTAGTGGTTATCTGAGTGAAACTGATGCTATGATTTAAAATAACTGCTCTGTTTATGTGCAGTGGTAAAAGTCACTTACTACACAGTCTTGCAACGTCAATTCATTACTTCTATTATATATTCTTTTAGCAGCTTCACTGCAGACACAACATTCAGTGGAAATTAAAGAAATTGCCTACAATGCTTTCCAGTTCTGGAAAAAGAAAATGTTTATAAATTTGGGACAAGAAATCAAAAATAAATGCTTCACAAGGATGGTATTAATTTTGTTTTAGTTAAAATACTCATAACTGTGAACCACCATTATACCATAGTAGAATATTACAATTATACAACACTGTATAATTGAGAGATAGTAGTATTTGGAAATTTCATTTTCAAAATTCAATTCTTATATGACTTGCACTAAGAATTCATTTTGTTTAATTTATATTTAAATTGCATAAAACACCATACTTCCCCTTTCCTTTTTAAATCATACAAATTAAAGTTGACCACATCATTACTAAGAGTACAGTTAAATCTGCCTCTTCATATTACCTATCCTATCAATTTTGAGCTCTAACAATTTATTATTTATTTCATATTATGGATATTTAAACTGTATGTGCTTTTAATGTATTGCATTTATGATGATAAGCAAAATAATTCACTCTTACATAACGATTTATTTATATAGCTGTGACTGTAATTATAATTATAAAAGAGTACTATACTAAATGGATAAAATTTCCAGATTCTATGAATACTCAAACATCAATATAACCAATAGATTAAAAAAAATTCATGTTAACTTATTGACTTAACTTCATGCATATGAGACGGATAGCCTATAAATTTACTAAATAAACAAACACATAATAAATAAATGGACACTTACAATGAATAAAAATATAGTTTATTCCACCTTTTTATATGTTTCAAACATCATTCTCTCTTCCTCACGAGGGTTAAAAAAAATTCTAAAACAATTTTTCAAGTTAAAATATGCCAATATTATAATAAACTATAAAAATAGTTTACAGCAATTTTTATTTGCAAAAAGAAATTATACTCCATATCATTTAATTTCTGAAATGTGGAGGTCACAAACTCAAAATAAAGTTTTATAGATACAAATTCTAAGATGGAAATTCCTATTGGTTTTTTTTTTTTTTTTTGAAGTTAACATGCCTGACTAAATAATCAAGCAAAAAGAAGGGGGAAATAAGTGGCAGGGCATGGCTGTCAGTGTTAATGTAATATTCCACATTTGATAATAATAATGAAAAAAGACTTCAAATACCAAAATGATTCATGTGCATTTGCAGTAATTCTCACATGGCTATGAAAATAAATGATCTGTATTTTACAGAACAGTTATCTTAAACAAAACTATTCATTTAAAATATCTCTAACATTCTGATATTGTTCTGTACATTTTCACGTTTTTTTTTAAAATAAATAAATGAAAATTTCATAAAATTCTATGATGAGGATCTAAAGAATCACTTAATTATTTAAGTGAATGTCATGGCTCCCTGGATATGTTTCTCAAACAATAACCTGTCTATCCTAGCTTCTCTACTTGGCAGCAATTCATTTTTGAAAATGAGAAATCTTAGAAAAAAATAGTTTCCACACTTGGCAGATTCCAGTACGATATGTACATATTTCTATGGGTTTATTTCCAAAGGGACAGCAAACCCTGATGAATGAGGAAGACATATTCCACTTCTCAGACTTCCTTATACATTAGGCATATATTGCTGGGTACCTTCCCATATAAACAATATTTCTAATAAATATATTGACCAACTATATATTGGTAAAAGGTCGTTTTTCAAAGTTATAAAAAATTGAAATAACATTATGGAAATAAACAAATGGAAATTTATCCATCATCAATTAAGGGAATCAGCTCCCTTCTGGTACATCCTAAAACGTTTAGGAAAAGAAATAGAAATATAAAGTGTCAATGTGAAAATTGGTTCACTTGCTAGAATTGTTTGTACTATTACTCTTTCCTCTTAATAAATCTTGCTAAATAGAATTTTGTTAATTCATGCATAAAACTTTCTTTTCAGGCAGCTGACAAGGGACTAACAATCATAATTGAAAAATAAATAAATTAGAGAGCAGAGAGCATAATATAAGAGTTTGAATTTACAGCTGTTATCACACATTATTTTTTTTTAAAAAAGGAATCAGCATTCAGATTATAAAAGTCATACACTACCAGCAATTTTAATAGCACTGTTAATTTTTCAAATCAATTAGGGAAGTGTAAAGCCCTGCAACTGATCATATATACTATCTTAACTAAAGCCTTTCCCTGAAGCAGAAGATTATTTCATTCTATAATATTTCTAGTTACTTTTCAAAGATGGAGCTGAAGATGTTCTATGATCCTTTAAAAAAAATAGTATCCTACTGATAATAAAATTGAAAACAGTCTTGACTATTGGACAAAAGAAATAAAAGTTAATACTTGGAATCATATGCCAAAAATATTCCTGTAACGCCATACAATAAATAAAATGTGTTTGCCTTAACTAGTAATGATGTTCAAAGGCCAATGGAAATTAAAATCTGTGAATGTATACATTTTAAATAACCTGGAATAAAGGTCTTATCTCAAATAAAAAGCCAAAAAGATAAGCTAGATTTATATGTTGTACCAAAATTATCAATATAAAACAAGATGCAACATAAAACACTAGCAGGCAGCTAAACTGGCATGAACATTGAAGCTTTAACATCTAAAAAGTGTATACAAAAATAGTTACACACTAAACACAATTTGCAGTTATTACCACCTTACAGTTTTGTAAAAATGCTATTTTCTTGTAAACCATGCTAAGACTCTTGCAGATAGTACACAAAACAAGAATGGAGTTTTCTAGAACCACACTGCTACTATCAAGGTAACTACAGTAAATTATCCTACAATAGAGCAGATATACACAGGAAATCATACTTTCAAAGAAAGGGCAAAAGGACAGTCATATAGTAGCAGCTCCTACTATTAACATGTTATGTGATGTGCAAGGCATTAAAAAAATAAAAAAAATTAGCTGGATTTTGTGTTACTTTCTAAAGGACTTAAGAAAATGAAATTCAGATTATATTTTGTTGTCCACAAATATTCAGGTATCATATATGAGAAATTTTCCCTCTGAATACAATGTTTCATTTTTCCTAGTTTGTCCCCTGAACCATTAATATTCAACATGAGCATGGTTCCAACTTTGAAATTAATCATTCATTATATTGAGGTAGCTGTGAGGTGCTAAAAATATCACAAGTAAAATGTCATTCTGAATTATTTGAAATGCTGAATTATCATAAACAACCCTGCAATGCCATTTGACTTTATGTAACTCATTGGAATTAATTTGTTCTTTATTCTCTTTTTCACACTTATTTATTAGACACCAGTAGCCTTAAGATTTTTTATATATATTCCTTTGTTTATCAGTATCTAGAATATTACTAAATGTTTTATTTTCTAAAAAAACCTAATAAAATTAAAACTATTTATTTATATAATGATCTTACCCTAGGATTTTAAAAACATTGCACCATCCAATGAAGTAAAAAAATTGGCTTTGATTTATTTCAGTTCTCAACTAAAGCCATGTCTTGAATCATTCCATTTTTGAAACTGACAATAAGTTACATAACTAAAGTTTGAATTAAGAAGTATCAGCTATAAATCATTAGTCAATCATTATATTTTTAATCTGAATCGTGAAATCTATTTATAGATGAATGCAAATGGATTTTACAATTCTATAAAACTGGGGACAAAATAATTGGAGGAACAAGTTTTAATTTTTATTTACTTAATTTCCTATATATCCTGTCTTTATTATTTTTTTTTGTAAATAACTCAAAACAGTTATACCTAACTCCTTCTTCTTCCGATTTTCCCCACAACAATGAACCTATGAGATCAGTTGGGCTGAGGAAAGTCACTGACTCAAAAGCACCCAGCCAGTTTTTCATGGCAAGAATAGGACTAGAACTCACAGGCTCCTGTTTTCTAGACTTGGAATAAAAATACTTCAGTTTGTGGACCTCAGTATAACTTTTAGACAAGTGAAAACTAACTTCAAACATAACTTGTGACAGAAAATAAAAAAAAACAGATCCTGTATCACACAGATGACTGGCTTTTTATCTTTTATGTCCTGTTAAAAGACATAGTAATTCACCCTGACAGAGAATTAATTCTATTTCTGAAACTGACAGGTAAACATAAAGATCCATTACATTTAAATCCACAGAGAAAACATGTGGCAAGTCAATTAGTGGATATGAGTGGATCAAAGCATTGTTTCTGTGGTATGCATTCCCCTTAAGTCAGCTGGCCTTATTCAGTACTTTAAGAGTTCATTCATTACAACCTTGATAAGAAAATGATGAAAGTGGAACTTTAATTTCCTTTGGAAAAGATTATAACATTAGTCCTACCTGACTAGATTTTCATTGTCTCCAGTTCCTTTACATGTAGCACATTCTGTTCTTAAATCCTCAGATTTTGGCTTCTTTTGTACGACAGATTGTCTTTGTCTTCTTTCTCTTGGAATCCGTTCCTATTGAAGGAGAAGCATCAACTCAAAACCAAGCAAAGGTTTTAGCATTAGCAACATTACTTCTTACTCTTGACATTTTCATCTAGTCAATAAAAATGAATAAAATTACAAGATTCCAACCTCAGGTTTTTCTTCTTCCGGAAGATAGCTTCGTTTTCGTCCTCTAGTTCTCTAAAAGTAAATAAAATTTAAAATTAATGCATTCCCAGATGAAAAAATACAAACCAAAGTTTCTATTTGAATGTATAACTTATTTTTGTAGGTTCAGTATTCAAAGAAAGTCTTTGAAAAACAATAACAGTAACAAAAGTCTTCAATGAAAACAAAAACATCCAATAGTACTAAAAATGTTGAGGATTCGGGTTACATCTGGAAAAGTAAACCAGAAAAACAGAGAGGAAAGTTAAGATGCAGATAGCTATATGAAGTCTATGAAAAGGATTATTCGGCCCTAAAATTTGACTGTATAGCAAGACGACTTAGCTGAAAACTAGAAATGGGGAACAAAGAAAAGGAAATATCACAGATGCCTATAGCAAACTAATGCCAGAACACTGACATGTATAATGTCATATAAAAATCCCATTTTATATGCTTGTGTCCTGGCCTCTGATACAAGTATGTATGTTATATATAATGAGAAACTGACAAAGGAGAATGCTCGTAGTCCAGGACTGAAATAAGGGGTCCTTGGTGGACATGGAAGCCTGGCACTCTGACAAATCAGCCACCAATAGACACATAGATATAAACAACATCTACATACTGTGCAAAAAAGACAAACAATAAGTCAAAAAGGGGGGAGGAACCAAAACACCTCCTGACTATCAATCAACACCCAGATGAGCACAGATTAATACCAAGATTAACATCAGACCAACAATCAAGAAGTGATACCCCAATATCCCAATCAAAAAACTGCAAATAGTAAATAGCCCAACCAAAAAACACCAAGACCACTCCCAACAACATTGAACATAAACTGAGAACAAACCCCACTCCCCACTAGCACTGCTGATATTATTTAGTTTGAGTAATGAAACATCTTCAAGAGAGACATTTCTAAATAAACAACAAGAACCCTTCATAATAAGAAATGTTTGTCATTTTTACCCCTCCCCCAATGTCTACTGAAATGAAGCTCATGGGGAAAATACTACTGCACTGTAGTATTTGTACACTGAATTGGTTCTTCTGAAATATATAGAAGAAGCAACTTGTATCAAAGCAAAGACCTTTTTGTGGAGATATCATTTTTGTATCTCATTCTAATAATCTATGTTTAGATGATTTTGGTAAATGAGTAGATATTTTTTCTTTTATATAAGAAAATAAATTTAAAATTTTAATGAGGCTGATACTGATCAATTCTTCACACAAAGTTGAAACTAAAAGTCTTTGTTATTTTCCATTCTGATATTTAGTCCTTTCTTAAAAGCACTATAAATGTAAATAATAAGGCAAATGCAGCTTGCATGTTGAAAAAAAATGCAAATGAGAAACACTTATAACAGGCTTACTACAGGTTCACTGAATGTTGTCAATCAGGATAATAATTTACAAATCATGTAGGCCAAAGCATCTCTGATAACATCTTTATTTTTGTATTTTAAACTGAGTAATCAAACAGTGCACAACCCTTCTGGAGTATGGTTATTTCGTTGTAAGGGTCCAAGTGTTGTTTGGGACATTATGCTATGTCAAAATACTTGGATTTCTAATAGTAAACCTACTTAGAAATAATAAACCTACTTAGACATCATCAATTCTAGGATACCAGCTTGCATATAGAGTGGCTGTATGGTGAATGCTCAAGAAACACATGTTATGCTTCAAAAACAAAGTAGTACAGATATTCTTCCTACTGATGTCAAACATTTTCCAGAATATTCCTTCTCTTCTGAACAATGGGCACAAAAGCCATGTATTCAAAAATAAACACTATACCACAGTTTGCTGTAGGACCCTCCTCACTAGAACGCATAGCAGCCAACCAACAAGAGATATTACATCCCAGAAACAGCCTGTGATCCCATACTTCTGCCTACCGGTACTTCTGCTTTATACAAAAAAAGTGCAACTACTGAAAAAGGCCAGTTGATGGCAATCTATATACATACATTCCAATCAAGAACTCCAACTTCCATCAAAATGTAATAATAATTTTTTAAAAAGCACAGCTGATGAATTTAGCTTAATATACAGACCTTTCAAACTAATATTAGAACAATGATCCTCCTTCAAAACAATAATCACAAAATGATAATCACAGCTTACTAGAGTAGTTCTATAGAGCTACAATCAGTTAAGTGAACTACTTGTATAGAGTTTCTCTACTGCACTACAATGTATTTATCGTTGATTTTACCTTCTCTACTCAAAGAAACAAACATTAATTTTAAAAACATTATAGATGAATACCAATGTATGTATGTATACACATATACAGACTATTTTTAAAGAAAATATTTATTTCTTTGGATCTATATCAAAATAATGTGTTGTTTTACATGTAATTCACTTATGAAATGTTTAAAATATTTGAAAAAAGAAATTATGAATTTGTCTTAGTTGAATATAATCCATAACTAACTAACTAACACTGAAATACAAAGGGGAAACTGGTTATTGACTTTACTCTTGAAAATTTGATTAGAGTTAAGTACAAAAAGAGACTATGAACTTGGGGAAATTCAATTATTGAGTACAATAGGGCAATTAAATCAACCCATTTTGTCAAATTATAAAGTGCTAAATTAATATGAGATGAAATGCCTGAACATGCTGGTGCCAATAGCTACTGACAGACAGTCCTAAAGCTAAAGTACTAATGATATAACAACATTTACAGACATATGGAAGTATTGCAAATTTTCTGTTTGTTTCTATGAAACAAGCAGGCATAAAACAAATAGTAGATTCAAGCATTCCATTGTGAAAATTTGCAACATATTTCTGCAAAGGGCAATACCATCTGCTTCCATTGGCTAGTATTATAGAGCAGATGGAATTATTTTCACACCAGAAGAGGCAACTCTTTCTGTACTGCCAGCTGATGGTACCATCTAATTAGGTACTTTACATTTACAACTCCAGGAAAAAAAACCAACTAAAACATAACAAAAAGGCTTAGGGAACCACAGCATCCTTTAAGTGTGTAGATTAAGTAATGTCACATTCAGATCTTTTCTTTTTCAGATAAATGAGCAATCATGTTATATGATAATATTAATAGTAAAAAATACTGTATAAATAAATATCTGTATTATAAAAAGCATGAATAAATATTATAATCCATAATAAAACTATTGTTTATTCTATTTTAAAGGTAATACAACAACATTGGATGTTCATTATGATAATTTAGGAATGTTATTCTGTACAAAGCTTTTGTCATTTCAGTTACAAGTGTTTTTGATTAGGCTGGCTTAGCTAGCCTTTCTGGAACCTATTTGCACATCATTATCCATTAGGGGTTTCTAGTGTTAATATGATCTAAATCATTAACCACTGTTCAGTACATATTCCAAATCAGTTAAAACATATGAGCTATAAATGTGCTCTCAAGCAATAAAGTGCTTTCTATATAAAATTAATACAATCAAAGCAATCTATTTCCAAGCGCACTAGCTCTGAAAATGTAAGAGGGTAATATGAGAAAATTCAACAACATGCAGTCACCAACATGGCTACCTGAAACAACATAATTCCTTTATGTTTGAAACTTAAGTTGTATTTTTATTGATATTTTTAAAGAAATGCAAAAATAATGAATATTTTGCTATAGCTTCAGGTTTTTTTTAAATTCTGCAATCTTTTTAATGTATGCTGATATGGTTAAGATATTGAATCTGGGCTGGGAAGACCTAGGACTCAAGCCGTGTAAGCTTATTACATGACAGCGGACAATTATTCTAACTCAGTCCTATTAATTTCATAGGGATAGTATCATAGGGAAAAAATGAAGATAGGAATCTCTGAATATTACCTTCAGCTCCTGGGGAAAAGTGAGATACAAATCTAGCAACTTTATAAATAAAACATAAATACAGTATCAGTTTCTATAGTTATTTATTTTACCTTTGTTTATTATTTATTTATTTATATTTCTCTTTTATAACATATAAAATAAGAAAGGTAGCAACAGATATTTCCATAGGAGGCATCTGTTGATTGGTCTACAATTCTCATTTTGGGACTATTGCTTCATTTTAGGTAATAGTCTAGATTAATGGAAGAAGCAATAACATATTGAAAATTAAAGTTGAAATACTTTGGAAGAAAAAGTAACTACAATGAGTATAGTATGACTCTTAGTGTTATATTAAAAGGGTTGTCCGAAAATAATTTGAAGCTTTAATTTTATTGGATTTATTGGATTGACTCTGCTTAGAATTTCCTATGCACCACAACAATGCTGCCTCTTTTTGAAATCCAAATCACTGAAAAATACCAAGACTACAGGCGGTGATTTTAATGGATGAAAATGAAAGATAACTAAGTTGATAGTTCAGTAGTAAAACACATGCTTGTACAGGTAGTCCTTGCTTTACAGTTACAACTTGACCAAAATTTCTGTTGCAAAATTTGTTAAGTGAATTTTGCCCATTTTATGATCTTTCTTGCCATAGTTGTTAAGTGAATCACTGTACTTATTAAGTTTTAACATGGTTATTAAGTTAATTTGGCTTCCCCACTGACTTTACTTGTCACATGACCCCTGAATACTGCACCCATCAATTTTGGTGCACGATTTTGATCACATCATCATGGGATGCTACAATGGTTGTTTGAAAAATGATAATGACACTTTTTTTTAATGCTGTTGTAATTTTGAATGGTCACTAAATGAACTGTTGTGAGGACTACCTGTATGCAGATGATATTGGTTTCTATCCTGTTATTTGAAATAAAAGATTCAAGTAGCAAGGAATAGAAAACTTTTGACAAAGTTATATACTTTCTGATAGTTAAATCTGCTAGATAGATAAATTCTTTAAAATTGTTTATAGCTTCTTCTGTAGGATTGTTTTACCTCATTTTTTTTTCCTTCTTGCACTTGAATTTCCTCCCATCCCTCACTTCAAATTAGTATTGATTGCTGAAAACTGCCTGGGCAAGTCCCTGCATTTTAATCTGCAAGATTTTGAATGGGTTCCCACTGTTTTCTT